GAAATTTTCATCTAGAGAATCTTTAGATATTTGCCTCAAACTACTGTTACAATTGTCTGCTTTTGCCAGTCCTAAAGCCTTCCTATACTGATGTGTCTCTTCTTTGCTCTCTAATTGTAGGCAAATCTTCTCTACTTCGTATGTGCTTTTGTTGGCTTAGCATACTCGCATCCCAGTCTTGATTCATTTGTTTTCATTTTATAGTTCATCTACTTACTATTGCTGTGTGAGGAGCTATTTTATGAGGAAGTCTGGAAGGCTTTACCAACCTAAAACTTGCCAAGAGAAGGTGTAGGTGTCTGGTGCTATTCATGCGCTTTCACATCTCGCTTCTAGTTCAAACACATCGTGGGAAAATTACAGTTCTGTCTTTTCAGCTTTCTTCCAACACTTTTAGGGAAACTATATAGTTAAAAAGTTGTGTGGGAATAGAAATTGTTCAGTTTGATCCACTTCTACAAAAGCTCCAAGTTTTCCTACGCAGTATAGCAACCTACCTTTTTCTGTGTAAGTATAATGTCAGGAAAAAATAACCTTCTTTCCCTCTTAAAAACAACCTTGAACTCTCGAATATTTTTTTTCCTGGCCTGTTTTATTTTTCTTAATTAGCAGCTGATGAAATTACTATGTAGTTCCATAATTATTTAGCACCTCAGGGAGATCCCACTTCAGTCAATGAGGGTATTTTAAGGAATATCTGACCTTCCTGTATTTTCAGGTATGGGTTTTTTTTTTCTCTAGATTGTTCCTGATTCTCTTCTGTGCAGTATTATGTAGCACATGATAGTGCAGTAAATAGGAAGGAGGCCACTGGGCAAGAGGAAGCCCTTTGACTTAGCAAGTGAAAAGAAATCTCCCTCTCCAAAGATAATAAGCTGTTTGTTTTCATGTCATTCACATAGACAGGAGGAGGAAGAAAGGCATAAAACAGTTTGTTTACTGGTTATTTCTAATCCTTGATTCTACATTATTCTATGAAAATTTTCTGCTGTTTGTACACGTTTTCCTCTTTATGCTTAAGTGTACTTTCTTCAGTATATTACCTTTTTCTAAAATTATTCTGATTCATGTGTTGCATCACTTTGGTTTTTCTAAAAATCAAGGATCTTTGTGCTGTTCCACTACACATTTTTCCTCAAAAAACTTCCATGACTTGCTGAAAAATCTTTGCTCTAATCCTAAATGCTTTCAATTTTTTTAAAAAAGGAAAATACATTGTTTTATATTCACAGGCTAGGAAAACTTACAGGAAGAAAAGGATCTTATGAATAAATGAGATTTTCCTTGAGAATAACTGAAAATGTAAAAAGTTATCAATTAAGGTGTAGCTGGAAATGCGACTGTACTCTTTCTGTTGCAACAGCACTTCTGCTTGTCATGGAGACCTTTAGCATTATATCCTTATATAAGTCCACAGAAAGAAAGAAACATTCTTCATCATGCTGAGCTTTCATCCTAAAATGATCTTAATAGATGAGGGGAGGGAAGAAGCACAATGATCAGCATGGTACAACTGACACAAGCTGTTAATCCTTCTTCCTGTTTCAAGCAAAAGCTACCATGCTAACTTGCAATTTTCTGTATAAATAAATAGTGCTGGTATTTCCTTTTTGAAAACTGTGAAAGCACTTGGCCCTGGCCTTGCCATTTGGTTAAGGAAGCACAGAAGAACTGGAAAGAAAAGGGGATCTGTTAAATAGTTTTCTAATACAGAAAGTGCTGGCTAATCCTTATAAAAACTAGCAAGGAAGTATTTTTCTTAACTCCAACCTGAAGGAGAGGCAGAGGTTACCAAACGTAGGTATAGATAGACAGTAGGGACTGGGGCAGGGGTTTGTGAGATATGCCTATCGAGCATTAACTAGCAAGGAAGTATTTTTCTTAACTCCAACCTGAAGGAGAGGCAGAGGTTACCAAACGTAGGTATGGATAGACAGTAGAGATATGCCTGTCGAGCATTCAGTGAGGACCCAACAAAAATCTTTTATTCCTGTCCATCCACTCTATCACATATGGATAAAGCAGATCTTTGCCATTAGTTTTGTTCACTTATCAATCTCTGAAAAGTTTTTTATTGCATTTATTTTCAGGACTTGCTTAATCAGCCTCTGATACAAATTTACAGAAATAAACCCACTTTTTTCTTATACTAGTACAACAATTATAAAGCCTCTAATATTTAAAAACTAAACAGTTTCAAATTTAGTATCAAACTCTCACACACTGCTTGTTAATGAACTGCAATCAGCCCCTTTTGTATCAGGCACAGTGAGCAGATAGCAGAAATGGCAAGTCGTGCCATTTCTTGAATTGCTCTTTGAGGAAATGGAAGAGTAGAGGCAATATAAGCTTAATTATAGTTCTCACCAGTGTTAAACTTTGCAATTTGGTTTTTGGATCAAAAAACTGGCTTGGCGGGAAGAACTGGAATAAACAGGATAAAATCCTGTTCTGCTAAAATACAGCTTATATAGAAAAAATATCAGGTAAATTAGTATGTATTTTAGGTGCCTGAAAGGGTTAAAAGCTAGTGTTAAAAAAGAAATATATTCATAAAAAGTATTCTAGTACAGAATAATGCAAAATGACAAATAGAACTAGATACTCTATAAGCTGATGGAAAACCTGAGTTCTGGAAAGATTTAGACCAGAAACCACAGTTAGCATAATGAGCATATGTTGTGTTATGGTGCTTTTATAAAATCACGGGGCTTGGGGGGCATCTCGAGTAGAAAAGTTTGTCAGTGAAAATGAGTCACTCCAGATTTGTCCCTGAAATAACTACATTGAGAATAGGATGTTTTCTTCTAGTTTTCTCCATACCTGAAAGCTGTTGGTAAATTGGGGAGCAAACTGGAACCCTAACTGGTCTTAACAATGTCAACTTCTCTTGCCTTAAGGTTAACATAAATAAAAAGTCAGTTAATGACTATAGCTTACATTTGACTACTAAACTATCAAGACTTATTTTTTTTTTATTACTGAGCATCCCTTCCATGAGGGATGGAGCCCATCAATATGATAGAACAATGTTCGTTGGTTTTAGGGTGTAGTCAGGTTGACCCCTCTGAATTCTCAGAATACCACTCAATGCTTGTAGTAGCACCAGTGGCACAAAAGATCATTTCTTAATTTATAATTCACTAAGCAATACAGAATAGCATTTGTAATCTCTGTATACTTATTGGGGCAAACATCGGAGAACCAAGTAACTGTTTTGCTGTTAAGACATGCTTAAAAGTTTTAGATCTAACAGTTCTGGTTACACTACCAAATAGTTTCAACATTAAATAACTGACTAAACCGAAGCCCTCCTTAAATATACCTAGTAAATTAGGCTAAAAACATACAGGGTCGCAACTGATAGGATTTCATTTAATAAAGCTATCCCTTCAGTTTAGGGAATGTATCTATGGGCTAATATATTTCTTTATTTCACATGGTGTCTAAAACAATACAGTTTGAGCTGGCCAGAGATGACGAATCATCTGAAGGCAAGACAAGCAAAGAATTATAACTGACTGCTGGTCTTAAGAGAATCACAGTTTAAAGAGGACTGAGATTTTAGGTAGCAAGATATTGTTGATCAGCTTTTCCTCTGGGAAGAATATTTGGTGTAGCTACATTAATAGCACTTTCCACTAAAAACCATCTCACTAGTTTTGCAGTGGTGCTAATCAGTGTAACTGGAGATATCAGATTTTGGTGATTAGCAATTTCTGTTGTAGTAGATAAGTATTCACCAGTTGTATTTAGTAGTGCTCCACCATATGCCTTTAGAATCCTTGTGCCTTTTTTACAGACTGAAAACATGAGATCTGTTTTCACATGTCTTCATGTTATTTGGAGATTCCTAAATGAATGCTCCTGTTCAGAATATCCTCCATACAGAGCTTCATCTGTAAGGCTCATCTCCAGATGGAAGACATCAGACTGCAAGGATCACATTCTTAATATGCAAGAGCTTGAAATATTCAAAACACTTTAAAAATTATAAATTTTTAATGCTTAAAATACCAATCACTTTTCAGCAACCTAAGCTGCTTTCTGGAAGCCAGTGCCAAGCTCAGTACGTTTTCTTTGACAATGAACATAAAAGATATATATACTAAAAGCAACAGAACCACAAAACTCTAAAATGTTAGTTAGTTTGGGAGGCTTAAAGCTATTTTGCATCGGTTAAATTTACTGTTTCAACCAGAAAAAAAGGCATGCATGCTTAGTGTTACTAGTGTTCTGGGCAATAACTGACTAGTGGCAAGTGACAACCCTGAAAACTCTCAAAAATGCTTTAGTGCACAGCCTTCCCTTTGGTGGCACCATTTCCCACTCAGAAATACTCTTGATAGCTGTACTCAGGGGTGGGACACAGAAGGTGACCTTTGACAACTGCAGCAGTTTACTTCTGTGGGACAACATTCACTCTGTCCACAATGTTCCCTATTGTTGAGCTATTGATACACTTTCATCTCTGTTTATGAAGGGTTATAGCAAGAAAAGAACTGCTAGGTGACTTATGGTAAGATCACTGCTGCAGATTTGGTACCTACTGTGATTTGTGTCACCCATTTGCGCCTCAGCGGTAAAGCTACACTTTTTATCAGGAATGTTTGGGAACATATAACTGTGCTGAAGACACATGGCCAATAAATAATTCAAAGTTATCTATCTTCCTTGCAGTTTTCTTATACACTTACCACCTTTTAATGTTTAGTTGGCCTGGAAACAATATTCTTTATGGCACTTCTGGTATAAAAAAGTTTATGGACTGGCAGTAGACTACTGATTTCCAGTATGACATCTTGAAAATAAACCGTTCCTCCCTAGTCTCCATCCACTTTGCTCTCCCATCTGCTATCAGCCCAGAGAAGCATTGGGTTGTATTTTGAGTCCCTAAAAATGTCCAATATTCAATTATTGATTCCAACATCATAACAACGTGATTGAATTCATTATTCCTTTTTCTCCTCCTCTGCCCCATCCCTTTGTTTTCTTTGCAGCTCTATATCTATTTACAGGCCAAAGGAGAATCCTAACATGTTTGATGCTGCTGCTTTCTTCCAGTCAGTGGGAAATTTCCTGGGGATCTTTGCTGGATCATTTGCCATGGGATCCTCTTACGGTGTGGTCACAGCTTTAATATCCTTTATGGTTTGTTTTCAGAGACATAATATGTTGGAAAAAGTGTGTGATATGTGAGACTGACCATCTTTAGTTTGAGCCTGAACCTTTTTCACTGTTGATTCAAGACTTTGCAAACAGTCAAATCATAAATTGTTAGGAAATTTCATTTGTCAGAATCCACAAAGAACTTAATATGCAAATTTATTTTTAACATTAGGCAAGACTTTGGTCTTTATTTTACTATTTGTAAATAATTACTTTTTTAGGAAAGTGTGTTAAAGTATTGTAAGGTTAAAACATGAATTTATGAACTACAGCAACTTATTTATGAACTACAGACTAGCAGCAATTATAGAAAAATACAAGGCAAACACTAGACTACAAATCAAGGCAGTCAGTTTACCTAAAATAGAAATGAAAGGCATATCTGTTGCCCTGCATTTTTTCTTGTGCTTTACAGTTCTTCACATAAAATACTACTGTAGAAAGAGCAGCAATTTTAATCTTTCCTGCGTTGATGCAAATGTAAATAAATGCCAGTTTGTTTACAAAACTGGACAAAATTACTATCTTTTCCCTTTTTCTGGGAAAATAATATCAAATGCAACCAATTAGGCATTAGTTCAAAAACCACAAAAGTACTTGTAATAGCCGACTTCTAGAATTCACCTGTTTAAAACTTGTGCTGGATCTTCCTCTTTGTTAGATAATTTAGAAGCTGTCCAGCTTTTCCTGGATTCAACTTGTATAGATGAGTATGGTGGGGGAGCTTCCTTTCATCTTCTACCAGGTTGGAGGCAATTTTAGCTTACAAAACAGTTGGGGTTTTATTTTTCCTTAGTAATCTTTTAGCACTTGACAAAATTTACAAAGCTGTGTGAGTTCCCTATGTTGGAGACAGGTCTGTTTTTCCTCCTGTCCTGGAGTGCCTTCTTATCAGCAGAAGCTGCTGGTCTTACAGGTAAGTGTTGCATTTTATTGAATAAAAGCAGTTTTATAATATGCCTCTAGTATGGGAAAATGGCAAGTTTATTTTGGGCACAACATCATATATAAAGTGTCTAAAAGCCAGTTGCTATATTGGAGATGGTTTCATCTTTAAAACCAAATCTATAGAGACACTGAATAGTTCTTCCAAAGACTTACTAGATCAGGCTAAAGTCCTCAGTCTTTCTTCCCTATCTTCCCTACATTGTCCCATCCCTATTAGTCCCACTCCTAATCCCCCTATTTTCTGCCCTGCTGTAGGACCAAAGATGATGGTAAGTACAAGGAAGCAAATACACAGTGCCATGGGACCGTCAGAGACCGGGCTCCTCCGCATGCACTGCGCAGCCTGGTCCCTCTTCCTTTTCCCCAACTATCAGTGACTAAACAGAGGACAGGGACAGCCTCAGCATTGCCAGTGGGCTGCAGCTACCTCTGGATTTAAAAAAAAAAAAATTCATCTCGTTCAGTGTGCCTCCATAAATACCTTCTGCAACAGGAGAGGTACAGTTGTGTCCCAGTGACAGGTAGAAAGATGTGTGATCTGATTGTTCTTTCGTTAACACTGAGAAAGGAATTGTGCAATCAGTCAAGTACCTAGTCAGGGATGGCTTTTTGCAACATAAAGAGTCCACAGAAGTTTAGGCAAAAATTGTAAATGGATATAGTTTGCCTCGATAGCAACCTATTGTATAGGGTGATTTGAAAGAACAAAGTTTGTAAGAGCTTGATTGTTTTAGTGTTCTTGATCCTGTCACCTCTGAAATGTAGTGCTCTAATTAATGTCAGGGAAAGTCAGGAGGAGAAGACTGCTTAATGGAGTGTTAATGCAGCCCATGCTGGTTTGCTTGCAAAATTGTTCAAAGCCTTTTGAAGTCAACAGTTATTATTTCTACTGACTTCTCCGGAGCCAGCATGTTACTTTTTTAATATTAGCCACACAAACAAACTATTTCAGAATGGGTATTAACATCTACATCTTCTCACATCTTTACCTTATTAAATATAAAATTTTATGTCCTGCTTACTGCCAAAATCTTCAGGCCAATAAATAAAGAGGGGCACACGAACTGAACAAAAAGGTGGTATTCCATCACCTGGAGGAAATCAGACCACCAGCTGGAATAAAAGTCCGTTTTGTCTCTTCATGCATAATGGCTCTTAAAAATGTGACATGATTACTACATAAAAAAGGAAGCAAAGAAGGATGGTTGTTAATCACTTGCCTCCTACTGGAGGTAATGATTTCCTAATCCAGTGAATTCCAAGGAAAAACTGTTTTAAAATACATTCCCAGCTGAAAACAAGGATGCTATGTGTTTCAGCAAATACACAATTAGACATTATACCCAAAAAGTAGATCTGTAAGGGAAACACTAATATCTTTCAGAGCCTCAGGTTCTGCACCAAAGGTAATTTCCATTTCTTGGGCATAGGAACAGACTGTATGTCTAGACAAAAACATAATTGGCATATGTCTTTCTTACATACTGCAAATGTGATGACAGCATAGCCTCTCCTGGTAGTCACTCTGAAGAGCATTTCATTTCTCTTTTCTTTTGCAATATATAAAATATCTGAAAGAAAAGACTTAATTATTGAACACCACAGATGGTTTTTATGGTAGCCAAGATAAGGAATTTTGAATGGACAGAGGGAGAGCCAGAGCAAGGGATCGGAACCAAAGTAAAGCTGCAATTTAAGGGAAAAAAACTGAAAATTGTTGTGAAATCTATCTGTTTCTTATAAATAAAGCAATTGATATAAGCATATAAAAGATAATTTCTCTGCCAATACACAAATTCCAAGGAAAACATACCAAGCCCTTTTAGGTCTGTCACTAGCCCTTTTTTAATGGGTGTGTTGTTCTGAGTTTCAGGTAGAAAATGTTTAATTACACTGTTGTGAGGAGGCAAAGTTTAATCTTGAAAGTTTTATCAGTTGAGTCTTTGTCATTTAGTTTTTGTGAAAGGCTTTTGTCAGAATCCGTTAGGGTGGAAAAAACTCATGGAGCCTTTCTTGTAGCTTCAGAAGTTCAGAGCTGTGTTTTGTAAATGCATTGACTTTATTAGCACTGTGCTAACTTTACAGTTTAGAGTGGATATTTTTAGTTGTCTGGTTTAGCCAGTTTTGATGTTTCTTTCATCTTCTCTGTCTCATCTGAAATAGCTCCAACTCCCCTCCTTTCATAATATGACTTTAAACTTCCAGTTCAGTAGGTGAATTACTGTATTGGTTAAAGAATTTTCAGCTGACTCAGGTTCTGTCGAAGGTACAGATTTCAGAGGTGGCTCTGATTTCTCATACCCGTGCTAAGGAAATCTGTGTAAAATGCAGTTACTGTGAGCATTCTCCTACACGGGTATGTGAGGCACAAAGCACCTGTTGCAGAAGGCTTGGGGAGCCCAGGGGAAAGCCACTCATCCTTCAGAACACACTCAGCTCTTAATCCATACTCTATAATTTCCTGTCTTTTCCAGTTTACTTGCTTTGCCCATTGTGTTACTTAATGCATACATCATCTGGTTTTACAGTTGAGGGTGTCTATCCTCAAAAGCAATCATTAGAGTTAAGAGAGTGTCATAACCATGCAATGATGCTGCTGGACCACTCCATTCAATTAACTAAATTCCTAGTTTGCAGTCTTTGACTTCAGTAGACTTGCTTCAAAAATTAATTTGATGCATTGTACATTTACACCTATATTATCTTCATTTTCCTTGGATACTGTGTTTCCTCTGTTCATTCCTTCTAAATGAACTTCAAAGGATTAACGCAACACATCAGTATTTCCCTATAGCTATTAAGAAATGTAACTGCAAAATATTTTTATTCTTATACTACTTTCCACACTAGTTATTCAATCACTAAGAGCCTTTCGAAGTCTAATATTGAAGTATGTCATAATTTATAAATAACAGGCTATCCTGGTTTTTGTGCAGGTATAGCAGGTGGTAGAGCTCACTTGTTTTACTTGCATTTTTTTTTAATAAAATGTGAATAGAGTAGTACAGGTTGACATTTTCTAAAATATTTTATTCCTCTGCCTTGAGATATCCCATTATATGTAACACACAATATATGGGCCTGACCCTGGATGAAAAATGAATGTCATAAACCAGCAAATCAAAAAAAAAAATCTGGGATGACTACACAATTATTGTTATACTGATAACTGTAAATTATAAATTAATGTTACGGTTATTAATCTTATAGCTATATCATCAAGCTGTGACACATGCATGATAAATTGATTCTTATGCAGTAGAATCTAATTTGTGCACTTTCATATTTGCCCTGAAGTATTTAATTCCTGACTGCTGAGCAAAGTTGTAATAACCGAGTATTACATTAAGGTCAGTGTTAATATAGTTGCTTTCATTTTCAAACTGCATTACAGAATATTTACTAGTACGCTATGAAAAAAACATAAATAATTTGAATTAAACACTTGTCAAAATAAATGAGGAAAGTACATTTTGCATTTATTAATTGCTTGTTCTCTTGCTTTATAATTAAGAAAATTTGCTAATTTTTAACTGATCACTCTGTCATCAGTCTGTGAAAGATTCCATGACGTACATCAGCATTAAATGTTCACCTCAGTTAGAGCTTCTCTACCTACAGCTGTTTGAACTAAGTAGATATTCAAATAAAGAGATTAATATTCCTGCAAAAATGCACTCAAAATATATGTACATGAATTTATTTGTGTTTATGTATTCAATTAATGCATACTTCAAAGTCATATAGAATATATCCATGTAAAAACATCAAAATTAAGGCCAACTGCTTCTGATTTTACATGCCAAAGACCTGCACTATGAAGCTAAGGAAGCTAATAGATCTTGAAGGAGAACATATTGGAGGGGATCATCCTTGTTCCTTTTTCTGTTTTTCAAAGCCCAGCCCAAAATGATTGTTTTCTGATCATGGTAAAGGAAACAGCTTGTGATAATATATTACTGCTTCTTCCTCACCCTCAGCAATTCTTCTCTGAACATTTTGTGATATGTCTGACACCTGCCTTCTTATTCAGGGGCTCACAGGAGGGCACAGTCTACATAGTGAGTAAGCTTTTCCTCCAAAAATAAATAAGGAGTTTATTGCAACTGATGTACCCAGGACAGCTCCAAAGATCTGGTCTCTCACTGGGACAGTTTTGTGCCACCTTTATATTTAGGACATAGCAAGAACAAATGTCACTAACTTCCATTTCTTCTCTGTTATACAAGGAACAAAAAACATCAAATAAAATGGTAGGCTTTTACTTCTAATAAAACCTCTTCACAGAGGTTGTGCTGTGGCTGAAACTTTACTAGTGGCTATCAACATTTTACTGTTAGGTTTCTCATTTTTATATTAAGTGAAAAATTTCAGTGACTTTATATATAGACACAAGCAGCTGTATTGCACTTTACGGATCACCCATTTCAGCTCCAGGCATCCCCTGTTTACATTAGGTTAGCATTTTGTTCAACAATTGTAGTACTAAGTATCTCAGCAATTGCGAAATTTGACGCTTAAAAAATCAAGCAATGTAACAGCACTGTAAAAGTGAGCTCTGCCTCCAACATTATCCCAGTGTTATCCTATTTGGTTTTATCTGTTTCTCTGTGAAAGAAAGCCAGCAAAAATTTAACAACCTAGTTTATGTGCTATACACAGTTCATACCATTTTCCTCTACCCTCACAAAGAAATCCAGATTGCTTTTTTCCTTCAAACTAAAATGTTCTGTGCTTGCTTCTTTAGGTACTTCTCTTTCATTTGTAGTTGCATTAACGTGTAATTGGTCATTACTCTTAAGTAATCATTTTTATGGAAATGCATTACAAACAATTTTCTCCAAGCCTTTTAATGAGGCATTCATTGCAAGAGGCATGGCTGGTACATATTAAGCCTTCAATTGTAGCAACTGAAATATTCTGCTGCATTCCCCCGGTCTTCCCTGGAAACAGGGTATCTCGTTTCTACACTCACGTAATTGCATGGTTCAGATCATTTATTCCTATTGTAAAATCAGATTTAGGCCATTTTTGCTCCTCATGTCTCATGTTCCTCTCAGTACTCTCACTGCCCATAATTAACCATTCCTCAGCCATCGAAAAACATTTTATAATAATGCTTGAATTTAATAGTCAATTTTAAAAATGCAAGACGTGGCATGATGATGATTCATGTAGAAGCAAGTGAATCAGAATCTCCATTTCTGTTGCTGAGCCTGGAGCTAGTGACACTTAGCAGCATTTCAGTTAAAAAAAAAAAATAGCCAATGGGTAATTTCATTGTTTGAGCATCCCACTGCATATTATTAATGCTTTGAGAATTTTTAAGCACCCCAGATCAGTTCTGCACAATCAAATACAGTTACTGAGAAGACAACTTAGACGCATGTAAGAGAACAATTAGACCTCGCAAAACCATGAACTTCTTGGAAGGTATTTAGGCAGTGACAATCTCACTACTCCCCACATTATTTACTGAAAAGTCTTAGTGTAGTTAGAAAAAAAATAAATATCAAAACAGACATAAGAAAATAAATATTAAGAACCAAAGACACAGCAGTTAAAGCTCAGTGGAGTTTCTCTTGGCTGCAGTGACTGCATTCTGTAGAAGGAGCACAGGTAAATTTACAATATAAAGAGAACCCAGAAGCAAAGAAAATGTCCACAGTGGTTTGTGGGGGTAAAAAAGATTTGCTTTCTCATTTTCTTTCTGATGGCAGTTATCCCTTGTGCCAAATTCATCTCAGAATTTTTTACTCCATACTTTTTTCTTCCATCAAAGGCATATTAATGCCAGCCCTCATTTCTTCCCAGAAATGAGAGAGGCTTGCAACTAAGGACAGTTGGATTTTGTTGGATAGCATTTTCACAGTTAGCAATCCAAAGAGAGTCAGAAACTTGAGAACGACAGGGTAAGGTAGTAGTTACTTTAACTGTTATGTGGCAATGTGCTGTTCCCACACACACGCACTGCCCCAAATGAAATAGTTTGAGCATTGCCTAAATTTTTACTTCACCATGTTTCCTCATCTATACCACACTTTAGGGGAGGAGGAGATTTCACTTACCCCCAAGGCTCTCTTGCTAAAATTCAAACACTTAGAGGTTTGGATAAGCCTATTAAAGAACCTGTCGAGGCACCAGCACTTTCACCTGACCCTTGTGCAGTACATTACCATCCAGTTTTTCCTGTGACTGTGTGAAGCCTGCCCTGCTTCTGTTAATCCTTTTGAAGTAGCAGATTGTTTTCTGTCAGGTTTGCCATGCTAAAGCACTGTAGATCCTCGCTTCTCCTTGCTGGCCTTAGTGAATTCAGGAGAGTCACCACCCTGGAGAAGCTGGAGGAAGCCTTATCCAGTTTCAAGCCCAGGACTGAAGGCACAAACGGGGATTATTTTCACAATTCCACTTCATGCTCTTTGCTTGCAGTAGGGCTGGTTTATATGTTTCAGTTCATGCTAGTTTAACCCAATAACTGCCTAGAAAGCTGCTGCAAAGCCACATTGCAAGGTGGATATTGCCTAAACCTAGACAGGTACCTTTTTGCCTACTTTGTTGTCTCAATGTGTTTCCTCAGATTCATCAGTGTTATTTCAGTACATGTCAGCAGCCTATGAGCTAAAAATTACCTAACAGTTCACAGAACAGCCCATGAGGAAGCAGATCTAAAACGCTAATTAGGGCACGTTGTAACTCGTAGACAGGAGGCAGCGAGCAGAAGGGCTGAAAGGCACAAGAACTGAAGCACTGTGGGGTGGATGGTGGAGAACTGCCTGTACACGAGCCTTGGAGATCACCAGCATGCCGCAATGAGCAGGCTGGCTCTGTGCAAAGCCAGTTGTTGTTCCTGTGGTGTGCATCTAGAAATTGAGTAGAATTGCATGCTCCACCTGCTTCAGGAAATGTGTGCGGAGGTTTTCAGGGGAATGGTGATTGGAATGGACATGAAAAAGCCCTGAGCTGTTGCAGAAATAATTATCTATGTAGACATGCCCCAAGTTTAAGAAAAGCACAGAGCTTTTTTCCTCCATGGGTATTTACATGTGGTTACTGCTAAACACTTCTTTTTGGTTTTCCATTTTCTTCCTGTGTGGGTTCCTTCTACCTTGTCTGTGTCCAGAGCTGACAGGAAATTGCAGTTACAATCTTATCAGCTACTTTAATTATAATTCTGCATTACCATGACATTATTCAATGATTCTAGTGAGCTAGGACCAGGGCCAGGAAGTATTCAAAAATTAGAAATATCACTATAATACAAATTTACTATTATTATTATTATTCCTGACAAACCTGCTGCCTTGCTCCTCAAGATTTTCCACAAGCTGGGAAGTATAATTACTGCCACGTGGCTACAGTCATTGACCTGGTCATTCTGGACAACGAAGCTTGCAGCTGCCTGAGCATCATTTTTAAACAATATGATGCTGTCCCCCTTGCATGTTGTTACACACCGCTTATGATAGGGTTAACCATCAGGCACAGACTGAACTGACTTTCCCCTGTTGCAGTCATTCAGTACCAAGCACTCTAAAACCACTTAAATGTAATAAAATTATTTGTATCAGTCTTCCCTAACTGTCAGTCAGATTATGGTCAGATATTACCATGTATCAATTCAAACAATTTTTCTACAATTTTGGGCCAAATACACAACAATGGAAACACTATGAATTCATGATGGACCAGGTAGAAGATTCAAGACCTTCATGATTTTTAGCAAAGGAAAAAAATTCTATTTTGCTCAAAGATGATCTTATAAAACATATCTTGAAGTTATTTTGTTATAAAATGCTGTTAACCGCCTAACTAGCTTGTATATGCAGCCCTTTAACAAACCTAAGTAAGAAAATAGAAGCAGCTAACTCTGGTTTTTCATTGAATTTCAGGTATTGTTGCAGTGCTTTTCTGTGGAGTCACACAGGCCCATTATACCTACAACAATCTGTCACAGGATTCCAAGATGAGAACTAAACAGGTAGGGCATGGAAGTAACTGACTTTGTGTCTTCAACTGGCGTAAGGAATAGAGAGAGGTACTGGGATATAGCTGGATGGAATTTCATTAATGCAAAGGAAGAGGCTTATGTCGTCACTAGGGGAAAGACTGGAAATTTTGCCAGGAAAACAGGAACAATTCTCTGGATAAGCAAAAATATAAGAATCTGTTCTTCCCAAGACCTGAAGTGTCAGTCGATGAGATGTAAGGAGATGACCATTTACACTAGCTTCCATACAAAAGTGAAATGAAGTTAAGGACATTGAAGAGCTCTGGCAAATAAGAGAGAAGTGGTCTGAGAGATTGGATCCATGTGGATTTTTGCAAAGGGACTGTATAAGCTGCAGTCTGGCCCACAGACTTGAGCAATGGCATCCTTTCATTTCTGCCTCATTAAAAATCTGAAATAATTACAAAGATAGTGATTTTTGTTTCCATTGTGTTATTTAGAGTTTAGAGACAAAAGAAATTTCGTCATCTGTTTTTTTGTTTGAACAGGTGACTGGTGCAATAGTAATTATTTTTTTAAAACTTAGGGCTGTTCTCAGGACTAGGTATGGAGCACTGCAATGTTCAAAATAATTTTCAGCCCAAGGAGTAATTTTAGACTACCTCACCACTAGCTAGATCTTGTGAGAAGTAAGTTAAAAACAGTTTTCTTCCCTTTTAATGTTGACTTATATGTCCCAAGAACTCCATGTTGTATAAAAATCTATCTCCTAGAACAAAATGGAAACGTATGGTCCAAGACTATAATTTTCGTGATGCAGTCTAGTACCTTTTTGAGCAATTCCTCCGTTTTAAGCATTGAAAATGTTATGTAGAAAACCAGCACTTTTTGCACATTTCAATTAAATAAAAAATCCAATTTTCTATCAAAAACAGTTTTATAGAAAAAATACTGGTCACAGTATCAGTTCAACTGTCAGACTCTCTCAGATTTTAAATGACAAAAAAGTTTCTGGTCAGTACTTCCAGAATAAAGCGAACAGGATAAGTCTTCTAAATTGCATTTCTTCCTACATCAGAGGCTGATGCTCTCAAAAAGTATTCCAGCAGAGAAGAGAACCTTTCTCTGATAGCTATATCATAAGGGAATAACATTTGTATCTACCATAGAATTGTTTCTATTTTGCAGAAATACTGAATTGTATATGCCATTTCTACCCTTGCATATAACTGCTACAATTTGAATACAAGGCTTTTTCAGGGATTCATCTGCATTATTTAGTCATGCATAGCCTCAGAGAGAGAAAAAGAGAGGCCATGGGATTTTTAATTACATACAAACCTTTTTAACTACAGAATAACTAACATTTCGTTTAAATGCATACTAATTTTGTTCATGTTTTCTCTTTCATTGCCTCCCCCATTCAACAGTGCAAGACAAAATAGTGAAAATAAACTGAAACTACCCTTGAACACACAGCAAAGGGATTATGTTTTTCTCTACGGAGTTTTATGCATCCCTTCTACCCTTTTATTCTGTTTTTCTCTTCCCCCATAAGCTCTTAATCCTCAGCCTCCCTTACAATATGGTTCAAAAATTGTTGTTAAATTCCTTTGAATTCTTCTAATTTATTTTCTAATCCAAAGATTACCCTTTCATATGCAGCTGTTTCAGCAAAACCTGCACTGCCTCTCTCTTTCTCTCCCCCCCAAGAATTCTCTTCAAGCAAATGTACTGAGCCACACACTTGGCACTCTCATAATCATATCTGACTTCAGTGCATTTTAAATGAGTATTGTTGCTCAGACAGATGGCTTCACTCCCAATCTAAGTCATTTTTATTACTCATTACTGGACAAAATCAAGGGCTTTTCAGTTCATTTATAGAATTATTCCAAGGCAGTCTCTCCCTTTTGTTAAAACAGAGAGATCTTTCAATAGGGACTGGGGAACGGTAATGCACACTGACAAAACAACAAGTTCAGGCTGAAGCTAAAGCTAACAAAAACCATGGAAATTAGATTTAAAACTGTAAATCAGATGGTGAAATTGTGGTTTTAAACAAATGCTTTTTCTCTACTGGTTTGCATAATTTTCTTTACATTATTTACTTGCTGTTAAAATTTCATAGCTTGATGGTAGAATTCAGTACACAATGATGGAGGTGGTGTTTCTGGCCATGATGCCAAGTTCTGCATTCTCATAATACCTCATAATTTGCTCTAAAAAAAAAAATACTTAACAATAAAAATACTGGTATGATTTTCTTCAGATATTGATATAAAATGAAAACTTATCTACAGTTCTGAAATGAGAATTTAAGAACCACTATTAAAAATGCCCATTAAAAGATGCCATGTAATTATTAGTCCCCATGTATCCTTTATTATCCAGTCAATCACCACTTAGCATTCCATGAAAGACTAATATTAGATTTCAAGCATCTGAAACTTACAGAATCTGAAAGTATAAAGTAGCACAAACCATGTCACAAACAAGGGATTATTTTAACACTGTCGTAAGAAAAGTAAAATAGCAAAGATTTAGTGAAAATGCAGGCTTTAGAGAGTTTTCATTCAATCCAATTATCCCAATTGTCACTAAGTATTTATAAATATTCTCTCTGGGTGTTTTTATTGTTTGTTTTTAACATGAATGATGTTTTATGGTAGTACTTTTAGGTTATCATCATTGATCTGACTGTGGTCACAGCGATTTTAACATTAAAGTTGACACTGCCACCCATGGCAACAAAGTTGGGTCAAACAGATTGCTGAGTTTCACACATTTAAGGTTTAATTTATCCAATATATCTTCAGTGAAGGAGAAGATGAAACTGCTGAGACATGACTGAAAGGTGTTTGATCCTGTGCAGCTTTCTCTAGAATTATTTACAGCTCTAGCATAACCTCGTGTTATGCTGCAGTCAAACAACAGTTACTTCTAAATCTTGGATTTTACTTTAGGTGCTGCAGATGTACAGTTGGGTTGGGTTGATTAGCTCAGCTATGAGTCAGTCAGTGGCTGGGCAGGGTGTTGCTAGATAAATAGAAATTACTGGTTTGTTGAAAGCAAACAGACAGTAAATCCCTACAGGTCAGCTCTAGAAAAGGATGCATGGACAATACTGTGTTTTCAACAGGAAGAGAAGACATTTCTCGCTATTTTTTTTCTCTCTGCCCTCTATCAGTTTCACTTCAATGCCAAGCTAAGACCAGCACAGTTTCCTAGTGGAGTATTTAGAGAAGCTTCTCACTTGCTCTGATGGCTATGTTGCCCATCATACTTATGAGTTATATCATTTTCTGGTTATGTTTCTTTAGCTCCAGGGAACAGCCACAACAAAGAGACCAGGGAACAGGGCAATACCTCTCTTTGGTTAAATGTGGAGAAATCTGCTTTCAGCCAAAATACAGTGCCATCAAATTATAAATTCTGTAAAGGGAATTCTGAAACACATCTCCTATGGAAGTAGAGACAGGGAATTACTAGAAGGCACAGGAGAGCATGTCCAGCCAGCAAGGGGCTGTGGCACGTACTGCCCTGTCTCCAGTCCACCAGTCTAACCCCTGTTTACATAGCCTCATCTGAAACTGTGTGTCTCCCAAGCTCATGAAGGTTGCTTTCTCAAATTAGGTGTAATAGCTTTTCCAACAGTTACATTTTTTGCTGACCCTGATAGCCAGTCTAACCCCTGTTTACATAGCCTCATCTGAAACTGTGTGTCTCCCAAGCTCATGAAGGTTGCTTTGTCAAATTAGGTGTAATAGCTTTTCCAACCACATCAGTAGTTAAACAGTTACATTTTTTGCTGATCCTGATAGCAAACCCATTAGGGAACACCTGCCTTATAGACAAAAGGTTCTGGCCTGATTGTTCTGCTGCACTGGGCATGCAGTGTGCACTAGAGGCCGCATTAAGAGTTCAGTGGCCCTTCACCTCCAAGGTTTTACACGTGCTTGAGAGCAGGGTAAAGGTAAAACAAGAGAACTCAGTGCTGCATAGCTGCTGAATAACTTTACCAAAGCATGTAATCTTACTAGAACTGCTTGAGCAAATTAACTTATGCTGAAGGACTGGAAGCTCAGGCTGGTCTTTGGGCTTTGCTCACTGATGGACATAGTACTGATTGCTTCAAATTTTAATCTCCACACCATAAAGCAGACATGATTATCTCTGATTATTAAAAGTAATCACTTTGCAGAGGAACAGCTAATATCTCATGGAAATCCCTTGAAAATACGTTTTCAGAACTTGCTTAGCTCATTTATGATATAGCTATACATTTTCCAACCAGGAAGCAGGCTAGGGATCAGTCAGCTGTGTGCTGACTCTTAAACTGAGCTGTATTCTAAAGACATTTTGGTGTAAAAGGGTTGTATTTATAATCATATTAATTTAATGCAAATTAACCATATTAATTGAAACAGGCTGACAAAACAGTCATGAAACATTTTTTTAATTCATCAAAAAATAAATCAAACAGTTATAGTGTCTTGACCCTGATATGTCATCAAATAGCCTCAATATAAACTTTGGACCTGATGCTGTTCCATCCGTAATTATAGACTCACTTCTGAAGCAAATCAGATCGTAACAGGAGAGTATAACTTAAAAAGTAAAGTATGTCAATGGAGATATCCAAATCCACTGGAAGGGGAAAAAAAAAAACCCACCTAATTTCTCAAAGGACTGGTTCCTGAGCAGCATCAGACAATGTTTAGTAAAAAGAGCATTGCAGGACTAAAGGCAAAGAGGTGGCTGAAGTCAGGTTTTGTCTCACTGTACCCAAATGAAGCCCCGTCACTGTGATCTAGTCGTTCTACCACTTTGCTGCTGGCCTGAATGTCTTGTAAACAAGTTCAAATGAAGCCCCGTCACTGTGATCTAGTCATTCTACCACTTTGCTGCTGGCCTGAATATCTTGTAAACAAGTCACAAGCAGGCCTACACTGAAAATTGAAACAACAGATCTCCTTTCTCTAGATACATGATACAATGACTATCTTATAGGATTCCTCCATCAGCTA